AACTTGGGCAAGCTACAACAAAGCCACATGGCAAAATTTCACATCTGAAGTTATGAAAAATCTTTCCTTTTAAAAGGAGCTATTATGATGTGTATTCCTCAGAGCCTTAATCTAAGCAATAGGACATTTTCAAAACTGTATGATAAAAGGTAAAATCCTAATCAAAACAGTATATTACCTTTTTTTTTCCCTACTGCTCACTGTCACATGGAAGATCCCACTGTATCTCTTTCAGTCTCTTCAAAGTTGGTGTTTTGATCTCAGAGTTTACATTTTTATTTGAGAAGTGGTGGAACAAATGGGAACAGACACCAAACACCCACAAACTCAGAGTGGGCTTGGCGGTCAACTGACATTTCTTCCTCCTACCAAATCTTAACTGACTAAATGCTGAACCACCAGAAATTCTGGCACAATAAAAGCATATGGATCACAGATGTGGACAGAAAAAGGATTTTCAGGAAGAAAAACAACAGAAAGTAAAATAGTAGCTACCTGGGGTCGGATACGTATCTAGAGTTCTCTGATGTGCATTTAGTTCTGCTGCTGTCAGCAGAAACACATCATTAAAAACTACACCATACATCTTAGTGTAAATTTCCCCTATTTTTTATCTTTAGTCCATTTATGAGCTAGATGTAAGTCTTCTAAGCATTTATATGGCTTTCATCATCATGGGATTCAGTGTTTTGGCATGTTGCTAAAAGAGCAACTGATAAAATTGTTTCTTCCACATTAGAGAAACTCTGTCCCTTGGAGAATAATTTTTGTGGTTTGGTGACAGATTTTTGACTACATGTTGCATCTTAAAGCTACATGTCTGTGTCTCACAACACAGAAACCTCTACATTTTCCACTTTAACAGTTTTACTGTAGCTCCCCGTTGCACTGGATTGCTTTTCCATAGTCACTCTTTCTGGACTTTCCTATCTGAGGCCAAGGTTCTTCCTTTGGAAGCACTGACTAGCCTGGAGTCAGCAAAAAGATACCTTCCTAAGGTGCACAGCATTAAAAGAATGGACCCTTAAGTCATTCCAAAATCACAGAAGATGAGATTATTGTGTGAAATAACTTACAAGGATTATTTGAAAGTATGTTTTACCTCTTGTCTAGGATTAGTGTTTACCTATTCTCTAATAGCATCTGTCCCCATTTTTTGGTAATGTTCTATCCCTTCTCAAGGCCATAATTCATCTCTGTATGTCAGTGATGATATTGGTATGGATCTCCGGAGGAGGATCTGTTTGCCAGACCCTTTATTGCACTCATTCCAGGTGGGAGTGAACTGGTCTATGGGATCCTTCAACTGTTTGCAAAGAGCTGTACATATCTGGGTGCGTCCTTCCTGGGTCTGTTTCCTAAAAAAAGGTGCTGGTGACTTCGTACTGCTTGTACAGTGGGTAATGAACTTAGTAATCACATCAAGCTACAATAATAATCATTTTTGAGTTGCATAATGTACATTATCACACAAACGTATAGCAAGATGTCAAAGACAAAGCAAAACTGCAAGTTTAAAAGTAAAGTTACTTACACAGTTGGCCCTCAATGCATGAAAAAGCCTTCTGGGCTTTAAATTTGCTCATACATATGATGCAGACATATCCAAACTGGCTTAGTACAAGCTAGTACTGGTCTGAAAGCAGAGTCCTGCCTCTATTGTTGGCACCTCAGGAAATACAACATAGTAGTGCCAACCCTTACTATCCGCATTTTCCTGACACATTCTCCTGCTGTGTGTGAGACTTCGATAAAGGAAAAACAAAGGTAATGCACACTGAGTTTACCCTCTCTGCATCACCCGAATAGGATGAAATTTACTAAATCTGAAAACTACACCAAAAAAATTAGCAGTGACTCCAGGTTTGGTTTCATTTGTCTGTCTCAAATAATATGCCCTAAATCTTCTCTGGTATTTATATTGTTTGAGTGAAATTTATACTTAATGGAGCTCCTTAAACACAAGGGGAAAAAATATGAAAGAACAAATGAAAAAGAATTAAAACCCCCACCTTGGAGTAGTAATTTCCTAGACAATTTAATTCTATTTATGAATTAGCAGTTACTTATATGTCACCTTTATACAGCCGCACGAGGAATGAACTAAGACATTTGTTGCTATAGCAACAGTATTCTTAATTAACCAATTATTTTGTCAAATGCTTCAAACAGATTTCCTAATATGTTAGAATATTGTTAAAGCTATATAAAAACAAATTAAAACTTTGAATAGAGCTCCCAAACAGCAAGTAATGCCCAACTGTATTTGCTTTATATATAAATTAAGGCCAAAGCTTTGAGACAAGCACTGGAAAGGGTTTTCAGAATCAAGTAATCAATAATGGCACTGTGTCCCTTCTTTTTCCTCACATCACCAACTTTTTAAACAGTAATAGAGACTATGTTATATGCAGTGAACTGGAAATAAAGCAGTGTGGTTGTTTTTTTGACTTTAAGTATACATTTTCCAAAATAGCTACTGTAAAAACAAAAAATCTTAAAAAAAAAAAAAAATGTTCCACCAAGTTGCAAGACTGTAAAATAGCTTTATCAGTCAGGAAAGCAAGTCACTTTCACTAACAGCCTGAGATAAACCATTCCAGTGCACAGAAAGCTTAGAAACCACAGTTTCTGACTGTTAAGCAACAACTGATTTTAGATTGAAATTATTGCAGATATTTTAAACAACTATCTCTTCCTCTCAGACCCAGTTTCAGGTGAACGTTGTTTGTAAATGACTATAAGAACATTCTAAGGCATGGAATACAGTTTATTTTAACTAAAATAAGAGAAGTTCTGTTTGGAAGACTCAGGTGACAAGCATAAGCAGTCAACACTTCTAAACCCAAAATAAGACTCAGGTCAGAAAAAGAAGATACAAGGGTATGATGTTCAAAGAAGTTACTGATTACCCAAGTCTCAGCTAGACCAACAACATTTATTTCACACTAGGATTGTCTTCCATCTTCATTCTTTTTTTCCTTAGTAGTTAGTTTATGATATGCTTTGGATTAATCTCATAATGTTCAACTGTGCCACTGCTGACATCCAAAATGTTGCAGACACCACCAACATTAAAAAAAAAAAAAATCTTTTCAGAAATTTGGTTTCTTTTCAGAAACACTATTTTAGCAAAATGTTTCCTCCCAGAGTATCAGCAAAGTTGTCATAAACTATAATCAGCAGAAAGCATGTACATTATAATACTACAGATTTTAGTGATTTAATTTTATTATATAAACAGATGTGTATTATGAGAACTAATGTGTTCTTACACATGACCTCAGCACAAAACCCTTCAACTGTCAGTAAATCAGCTGGTTCCAGATAAATTGGAATACATAATTTAGAAGCACTCAAGGGAAAAAAAATAGGGAGAAATTACCTTAGGCAAGAAAATAAATATTAATGCATTTATATTTAACTAAGACATACACCTAATAGATGGGGGAAGAAGGAAGGTGGAGAGAGATAATCTTTTAGTTTAACACTCACCTTCCAGACCATCTGAAGATATGCAGTGTAATTTAATAAGGACATTTTAAAATGAAAAAACCCACACCATAAGGAATGACCTCATTAAATTTCTTATAAATTGAAAATATAGTAGCAATTGCATAGTACATACTAAACTGAAAGGTTTGAGAAAAGCAAAATTTTGAAATCGATGCAGATGTTCAAGGATATACAGTGAGAGACAGAATTGATGACAATAATATTTAGAGAAATCAGAGTTTCATCTGTGAGAACTCAATTAACTTCTCAGAGACTGATTTATGCAACTATGAACTTAGCCTCAGCCTGGTTGCTGCCATATCCCAGACTACTGCTAACCTCTGTGAACTCTGATGTTGTGGAGACTGCCATACTTAGGCAAGAACTTTTAAGCTTAAATACTCTTCCAAACTTGATTCTCTTATTCAGTTCTGAAAGAAAATGACTTCTGTTTAAATGAATTATGAATTATGGAATTGCACACATGATGTTCAAGCAGAGCCCACTAAATCTGTAATTAGCCCAGGAATTAGCCAAAAGTTAAAGTCACCATAAGAAATGCCACACAATTAAAACAGTCACCTTTTAACCAAGAACTTGATTATGTTAGTAAGATCGTGGGTTGGAGAGAGAGAATTAATACAAGAAGGTAAGTATGTTCTGGGTGCAGTAGCCTTTCAGTTCATGTGTTATGTAAATATTAGTCCATCACAAATGGAAACACATCTTTCAGTTAACAGGGCTTACTCAGTTAAAATGCATTCTACTGTCTCACTAGAAACTTGCCCACAAATAAGATCCAAACTTCATGATTGACTACTTTTTTTTTCTTTTTTTCCTTTTTTTTTTTTAAAAAAAAAAAACAACAAAAAGAAGCAACACTTGCTTGTATGGTTGGCTCAACCACCTCTCACTGAACAAGACAGAACTTCTTGCACAACAATAATGCAGCCTCCAGTCTGATTTTGAGGGTTCTTTTGAAAGCTTTACATTTCAAATGGAAATTGATTTAACATAGAGCAATTCCAGCGGCTTCTATACTGCTTTCCCTAATCCTTTTACATTAATTACTTCCATAGCAAAAGTTTGTTTTTGAAAGGAAAACAGGCTAGTACCAGAATCAAAGTGGAAAAGCACTGACCAGAACAGCACTAAATTTTTTCCACTAAGAAATTCCTACCAACTGGTTTGTGTCTATACGTGGCACATCTACAAACAGTTGCTTACTAACTGTTTAAAATAATTCTAAATTTCACAAGAAAGTGCTCCAGCCTTCACCTGGAAATAGTAACAAGCTCATCCAATTCTTGCTGATGACAGCAAAAAGACTTCTACTAAGTTGATCAAGCTGTAGTTAAGACCTACATACTCTGACAGTGAGTTTGTCTAAATCTACCATGATTTCAAAACACATGAGATTTGTAGTATATACTCAGGTGCAAGCACATACTTTCTTCAGCAACACACTGGGGAAGACAGAGGGAAGAAATAGTTTTTTTCTGTACCTGGCAAGTCTGAAAAAAGGAGAATGCATTCATTGAATCCATTAGCCAGAAGACGATCCCTCAGTTGTTGAAGTATTGCAACTCCAATACAGAATGGGAAGGAGGAATTTCCAAGCAGCAATGTATCCCACAGGTGAAAAATTTTGTGCAAAGGAAAGACATCTGCATGGTGAACAAGCACAATTTTTTAAAAAAGCTGTAAGCATAAAAGTTGATAAAAACATAGGCACATATGCACACTCTTAAGGAGTTGCCTATATACTTTTTTCTTCTCCCATCTGAGGGTTATTTCTTTTTTATTATGACAGCAAAAAGGACTCAACCTTTTTAGAAACAGGTTTGTCTTCATATGCAGTTTGATTACTCTGGAAATCATCAGTGTCTTCTTTCAGTATTAATTACTTAGAAATGTGCAGGTTTTCAGATTTCAAACACACAAAAAATCAGGTAATTTATTTTTCTTTTGGTACAGTGCAGTTATGCATTAGGACATGCATATCAGCTTTTCCAATAGAGCACAGATATCAATGAACTAATCAGTAATCTCAAATATTTAAAATTAGACAAGAAAGTTAACAGAATAGACTAAAAATTGGTGGAATAAAGGAAAGACAAGGAGAAAGGCCTTTAAAAACAACAACATTTTATGTATAAAGCTGAAGGTGGTTCTCCTAAAATCAGCTATCCTTCAACTAAATAGTTCTGATATTTTATTGCAATTCATTGCCAAGGAAACCACCTCCTTATTTTTCCAAAGGTGGCGATTCTCATGAAAATTTTAGAATGGACAACTGCAAGAACCAGTGCTTCACAGTCAGATCATTAGAAACTGCAATCAGAATCTCACATTAAATTCTTTAATATTTAAACAGAAAAATCAGAGAAATAATCCATCAGCTCTTCTCACCCTGCCACTTTTTTTTTTTTTTTTAATTCCAAGTCTGCCAACGTTGACATGAAATGAAAAAAAATCACGGACATCATTGAAGAAAGAATATTTTGAATTGCTTTCTAGACTTGCTTTATTAACTTAATCCTCTTTCATGAATAGCTCACCAAATTATAAAGCTCTGTTTGTTCCTAACACCCATGCACAAATATCATAGTAAACTAGTGATAGAAGAACAACAATGTGTCAAGGTGCAATAAAAAAAGCTTGTTTTGTTGGCCTTCAAAAACAAAGTTAACTCTCTTTCTTACATTATCTGGGTGAGGGCAGGGGAAGATGGTTTGGGTTTGATTTTGTTTTTTTTAACTACTATTATATCTTTTTCCAGTAGATAACAGCTTCCTTTGTGCACTTCCTAAATACTTGACATGTAAAATAATCCAGTTCAAATGTAATATAATTTTTTTTTTAAATAAGAAAATTCTATTTTATTGTCAAATCAGGGCAGAAAGTATGTAATAGGCACTGTAGAGACTCAAATCACACCACGCATCCTTGCAAATTACAAGCAACCTACTAAATGATAGACACATCATACCAATTAGGAAGGCTTTAGCTGAAAAAGTGAGAAAAATTATGCTTAAGAAACACAAGACCAATTAATCAGACAAAAAGAATGTGTACTCACGTGTAAACATTGTAAGGAACCAAGGAATAGCATAAAGCTGCAAAAGGTGGCGGTGGTGGGAAGAGAACAAAAAACATGTTTTATTAAGACCAAAAGTTATTTGTAGACAATTGCCTACCACATTAAAAATTGCCTAGCTTGGCATGAATGTATTTAAAATGGGAAACAACTGCAGTGGCAGAACCACTATCACACAACTTTTAGCCCCTCAGAGAAGCTTTTTCTTCCCCCAGATCCCCATTCTCATCTCTTTCAAATTACTGGTTTGTCATAGTGCATTGAAAACAACAAAATCAACCACCACCCTCAGTAGGCTTATGTTTACAAAAAATATCCCCCAAAGTCTTAAAGAACTCAAAAAATCTCCTCTATTAAACTGTCACAGTTCTCACCCAGCGATATATATCGCTAAGTGCAAATTAGCGAAGCATATCTGAACAAGCATAAAAGAAATTGATTCAATATATCTTTTTGATTATGGAAAAAACCCTGGTTCTATATAAATAATTAAAAGTGCAAACCACAATGTCCAACAAAAAAGTTAACCACATCTACTTTTTTCTCCTATGTCAATATTTATTAAAACATAGACTTATCAGTGAAAGACAATAAGAACAGTTTCATTCTCAAAAGCATACAGTGTCAGTTACTAACACCTTAAGTATTTATGTTGTTCTACTGTGACCTTTAAAGGCAGATGTCATCTGAAGAATTTGAGGCTGCTTCAGCACTTACACAACTATGAGGCTAAGAACTTGAGCTGCTGCAATGGCTACAGAAAACCTTTAGTTTTTGCAAACTTTCACACTCATGACATACTACAGAGAAAATTCAGTATGTCTTAGAAGAGATAAGAATTTATGACACTTTTAGAGTGTCTCAATTTTCACCAAAGTATTTAGCATGTTGAAAAACCCCACAAATTAGGAATGCAAAAGCAAGATGGTCATTGTTAAATTTTACTCAGTTGCATAGGTAATGTGCTCTGCTTTCCACTTGTGAAGATTTACAGTTACACATAAAGCTTAATATATTACTTTTTAGCTCATAAAAAGTGCAAATTAGTCCTCCTATTAAGCCTTTCCTGGAAGTAAGCAAATGAAAAGCAGAAAGCATAATTGATATTATGTTAATAAATTACTACTTATTTCGTAAACTCTTAACTGGGTTGTGGCACTGATTAAATGACACATGCATTTGCTGAAAATCTCTTTAGTATAGTGCACTCTAAATTTTATTCCTACATCTTCATCTGAGCATCTGACAGTATCTGAACCATACTGTCGATAAAAATAAAAAAGCTGTGATGACCAGACTTGTTCACCACTTTCAATATTCAGGAGGCTTTTATGAAGGTTGTCCTCCAACCCACCAATTGATTTTAAAGGTTCAAAACCCAAACCAAATCCATTTCTCTCACCATCTTCATATTATAATACATTCATGCTATTTCCTCTGGTATATCTTTGTCATGTCTTCAACACATGGCTCTCTACTGAATAATAAAATAACATGTTCCCTGAAATATCCCCTACAGTGTTTTTGATCAGCTAATGTCTGTTTACCTGCTTGCTTGTATGCAGTATCTTGCTTTCCATGCAGCAGGAAAACAAGTATTCCTAATGGCATGAGGCTCCTCTTCGCTTGGACGTCATTACGCAGACGTCATTTTGAACTACATTACTTCCTTGGTATTTAAAAGCAATTATTTCCTCCTTTTCATATATTTTATTAAACTGTTTTACCAAAGCAGATCCACACTTTCTCCTAATTTCACAAACATCTCTATCTTGTATGCATCTACATAGAAATACACAAGAAAATACACAAAATTTGAAACATTGAAGAGATTATTATAAGGTAGCCACAAGGCAAAGCACCACTTTGCTCTGAACCATCCTCACCAAATCTAACAACAGTGACATGAAAAGTAGGTCAAACTACTTAAGCAGAAGGTATCAGGCAAGTTTTTATTGAAGGGATTTTTCCCTCTGATTTTCATAAACATAATGTTCTAAGACAAGGAGGTCTCAGTAAACCTGAAAAGGTTATGATTACTATCAATAAGTAAGCAAAAAAAAAAAAAAAAAAAAGCCACAACACTGGTGGTATTATTCCACCATGCAAGTCAAATTGAAAAACACAGACAAAAAGAACTGCACTGACTTGAAGTCCTCAAATGAACAGGCTACTGAATTTTTAGAGTTAAATGACTGTACTTTTAACATACTATTAGTCAATAGTGCCCTCTAGCACGCACCGGCTGGAACAGCATCGCGCCATCCTTCTGTACTAACAACCTGCTACTAGAGGTTTGCAACTCTTCACTACTGAACCCCGAAACATAATGGGGTTGTGTTCTTTATTGATACTTAACCCTCTGTAGCTGGGAAGCAGATCTAATGTTTAATAAAGTAGCGTCTGAACTGCTGGAACAGCCTGAGAATAAGTCACATTAAAAGAAGAGTCTGTAAAATCAATACTTCATTTTTCACAGTGAGCTTGAGATCAGTAATGCCCAAACTATAATTTCGCATTACTAGTAAAATACAAGCTCTTTTGTGCTTTTAAGTAAGGACTTGGACATTTCTCATATCTGAAGAATACCACAGTCCCCTAACACCGGTTTCCCTTCAAACAATCTGAATAAATCCTCAGGTTGTTTTAGTTACAATTGAAATCTCTTGTCCTTAGACTTGGTTTCATTCTCTGTCTTTCCATTATCCCTAGCTGAAGCTTCCTCTCCAGTAGTACTCTGCTACAAGAAATTCTGCTCAGTACCTGCACTTGGAGATGCATGCAGTTCATGGGCTTTTTCAACAGGATGAAGATGTTTGCTTGCCCATAATTAGATGGGTATATTTTGAGAAGAGTGCATCTTCCATTAGACATTCAAAATTCTCAAGAGATACTGGCTCAAATCTTGATGAAAGCCTTTTCAATGAGGATTTTGTTATTGCCTGTTATTACTGTCTGGATTGTTTCATTATTTGACTGTTCCTCCAGAAGATGAGAACTTTACACACTCATGTCTACAGAAGATTGAAATTTCAGTTGTAAAGACAGGAGTTTTAAAGATACCTAGGCTCAAAGGATTTTGATTTTAAAGATATGTTAGAAGGAATAGCAAGGTGAAAATTAGTGCTGCTGTTTATTGGTGGGGATGGTAGGGAGTATCAAAAGGCATACACAAGCTTCTTGCTCTGTGTAAAATCTGTAAGAATAAAGTGGCTGTCCTGTACAATCCAGCACCTTAGGAACATTGTAAGTCAGCTACAGTGGAGCTATACACCTAATTGCAGCATAATGAAACGGAATTATTTAAAATTGAAGGTTTGAGTATTCAAAACCTCAAAATTGCCAACAGTCTTCACAACGCTTCACCAAAAATCTCTAAGAAAATTCAAAAGTCTCTAAGAAAGTTCACCCTCTGCACCTCATAGACTTATAGATCTGAGAGCAAGGTTAAATACCTACAGTTTTAAATATAACAAACACAATAGGAGTAATCATTATTCTTGCAATCTTTTATATTAATCATCACCTGATATGTTTTTTTAAACCAGTAAACTGTCATGTCTTCAGCATTATAAAATTAATTTATAGACAGATAACAAAACGTAGCACGTATTTCACCCTATTTTCAGTGTTCCACACTTTATGTTGGAGCCTTTCTTTCTCAAAGCTGAAGTGACACTTACAGGACTACAGGTACTATCCCAATTAACAGCAACATAGGCAAGTATTCTGCCTCCAATAGTGAGTAGCTCATTTGCTTCAGAAGAACACGCTAAAAACCCTGCAATGGCCAGTTGTAAGATAGTTTGCCATGCTAACCTGCTTTCCACACACCTTAGGCAGGCACTAGGTTAAATGACAACAGAAAGGATTCAGAAAAGGTATCATATATTTATTTTCTTATTGAATGGTCCAGTAACAATCCCAGATATTGAAGATCTGTCAAGTAATCCAATCTTTCTTTCCACACTTAGTAAACTAAAAGACCATTTGACATAGCTGCACAGAAAGGTGGTCAAACGAAGCATGAAAGAATAAACCTCAGCTAAAAGGAATCCCCTTCACCCTTGGGACCCCCCTTCCCACACCACACCTGTGCCACGGTCATCCTCACCAGAGTGAACCCTGGTCATGGCCCCCCCAGCACCAAGTTACCTGTTGGCAGGGAAAGAACTGCCCCCTTACCCCAGGGACCCCCTCCCTTCTCAAGCAACAAAACTTCAAGGCCCCGTTTTCTTTCTTAAAAGTGCTTTAAAGGAGAATTTGTATTTTTTATATACATTTTATCTTTTTGTACATATTGTTAGGAGGTCTGCCATTTTTAAGTGATCTCAGATTGACCAAAAGGGGAGCTTTGAAGAGTGTATCTCACTTGTTAAGTATCTCTGACTTTCCTTGTGGTGTGACGAGGCCCAAACCATCATCTCAAAGGAGAAAAAAAAGAAAAAAAAGGAAAAAAAATGTTTCCAATCCTATTCTGAGCATTCTGTTAACTTTTTTTGTGTATGTACTTTAGCTGTGCCATAGATCATGGTTTGTATGAAGTGGTAATTTTTTTCTTTTTTTTTTTTTTTTTTTTCCTTCCCTGTTTATGAAGTTGTAGGGTTTTTGGTTTTTTTTGGCCTGTTTGATATGTGCGTGAAACAATGTCGCCTAATAACAAAGCAGAATTTTATTTTGCTGAGTTGTTCTAACAAGGCTGTCTCCTAGTTGCTGCTTTTTGTTTTAATTTTCATTTGTTAAAAAAAAAATTTTTTTGCTCTCTGCAGCTTCCTGAGGAGGGAAGTGGAGACGGAGGTGCTGATCTCCCTGATATCCAGGGAGGATAGGATATGTGGGAATGGTTCAAAGCTGCACCAGGGGAGGTTTAGACTGGACATTAAGAAGCGTTTCTTTACTGAGGGTGGTCAGACACTGAACAGGTTTCCTAGGGAGGTAGTCAATGCCCCGAGGCTTGCAGTGTTTGAGAGGCATTTGGACAACGCCCTTAACAACATGCTTTAACTTCTGGTCAGCCCTGAATTGGTCAGGCAGTTGGACTGGATGATCCTTGTAGGTCCCTTCCAACTGAAATATTCTATAAAATCCTGATCTTGCACCTGCATGTTCTGTCTTCAAAATACATAGAGACATACTTAGCTTCAAGTCTATATGGTACCTAGACAATTAATCATATATTTAAGTGCTACAGAAAGGTGTAAAAATGTTTTGATGACTGGGGATACAAAGAGAATGCAGACTGAACCCAATTTTTAATATTAGATTCTATCCACCTATATGCACCTACGCAAACAAAATTTGAAGAATGATCACTTTCCTTACAAGATAAAAATACCAATAAGAAACGTCTCCCCCAGATTCACCACTAGGTAATTGTGTAACAGAACAAACAGATAAAGTACTCAATTGCAGGATTTTTAATTCTCAGTTAGAGGAAGTCCTATTATCGACACCTCCTGCAAATTGCCAAAACCAAGCTAAGGTATTTACCTACAACAGCAGCTCCAGCACAATGGTGTTAAGTAACTGCAGCTAGACTTTGTCATCTCTGTTAATGGCCAGCTGACAACTGTGTCTAGCTTCCATAATTTGCAGCTGAGAGCTGTTTAAAATAATTTATGGCTATAGTTACCCTTTTACTAATGTAGCACACTGCCTTGTTTTTCTTCAGTTCAAAATGGTCTGCTCTTGATGTCAGAATTATTCAGTAAAATACAGAACATGGTTATAAAGTATCATATAGGGTGAGGGAGATTATAAACATTTGAGAATTAGCAAAGAACTGTAAGATTCACCATATATATTCCTCTATTTACATGTAAATCACACAGCCACAGAACGTGCTTAATCCAAGTGCCACATCAGCTAACAATATTCACAACTATTAAAGCTTCAGTAGTGTTCAATATACCAAAAGCTACGTGACTCAAGGCAAATGGGAAGGGTGCCAGGAAACATAGTCTTTCCTGCAGAGGAGCCAGCTTTTCAATGATGAAATATTAATCAGGGTTTACTTTTACAGGATTAGTACTCGAGCACGAAACTCTGGTTCAGATCCCATTACTACAGTGCATATCCTTCACCTTGATGGATTCTGTGCTGCCCTGTTACAGGTACAAAAAAAAATCACCTCTCTCGCTAATCTAAAAGGTGGAACAACTTTTATTTGTATTAAAAGAAAAAAAAGATGATTTAGAAAGGACAACCTCTCTTCAGAGATCAGTGTTTATTTTAGCACTAGCATTTGTATTCAATGCAAGGGATTTTTTTTAAAAAAAATATACCTCTGTTTTTTAATTATTTACTGCATTACTTAATAATGTCTAGACTGTAACACTTGGGGACAAGGCTCACATTTGACTATGTGCTGTCCAATATCTAGCACAACACAAAAACCAAATTATAACAAAACAGGTGATTTAAAACTATTTCATCTGACTTGCACCTTGAAAGTTTTCAGTGGAGAATTATAACCGTATAAGCAGACGTTAGGAGCTGCTGAAAGATCAGCTAACACCCAAGATGGGTTGCTACAGAGCTTTTATCCAGGTTAGTAGCAGAAACAAGGACCTGTAAGATGCTCAGAGAAATTACATGGCTATCTCTTCAGTGGGAGCTAGTACCCTGAGCAAAATACACAGAGGAATCGCTTTGGTCATCCACAGCATTTGACAAATAAATATCAAGTGGATTTATATACTGATGCTGCAAAATTGATTTTCCCTCAGGAACTTAAGTATTGCTGTTAAAAATGCCCCTTATCCCCCAGATATTCTGGCTTTCTACAGATGAATGTTCTCCCTTCTCCCCACCTTCCCTTCATCTTCCTCTCTCCCACCTGCCCTCTTCAGATGTGTGTTATCAGCAAGATATGAGGCCTTCTTAAACGTCTGCTTATAATGCAATACAATGGCATTCCCTTCTGCTCATTTTAATGCCACAGTGTCTTTTAAATTTTTGACATTCATAAATGAAATTATTACACTAAAAACACCTCTACAAATGCAAGCATATATTTGCTTTTCCATTACAATCTTTGCAAACAGTGATAATGAGTATCTGCAAGTTCCAAAGACACACAAATTCACCCAGGAACTGTGTACAACAAATGACTTTCAGAGGCTTGGCCTTGCTGCTTCAACTTAAATCATTTCCTAATAAGCATAAGGCTTTTCTAATAAAATAAGCTTTATATTGCTTATAGAAGAAATGTAAATAAATTTCCTACTTATGAAATTCATATTTCTACATCAACATCTCCTGACTTTAGTTTCCTCCTTCCATTTTGACCTCTCGGCAAATACCTGTTCTTATGACCAACTTATAATTACCAAATTTCTAAATGTCAAGTATATAATGATATAGACCATATCCATTAACAATGTTATCTATATAGCCTTGCCTAAATCTACTTTTTAGAAACATCTGCCATAAGCTTCAATAATGCTATAGTATTATCTTGGCTTTCTAGACTATACACACCTCTCTGAACAACAGAGGAAAGCTTCACTATTCACAATGATAACTAAAATCCAGGCTCTAAAGGCCTTGTTTTGCTTTTTCCAAACACACCCCTCCCTCTCTACTACATTTTGTCTGTGTTCTCAGTATTAATTTTACTTCATTTTATAGACTTCTTCCAATGAAAGCACAAAACTCAGACACAAGTTATGCACTTGTCCAATGTTTCTGATAGACTCTAACAAATAAGCATTTTCCAAGGTCTGACATATATACAGATTAACCATCACTTGCACACATTTTTTGTTTCACTTGTAAATTGATGTGTCTTTTGTGTTAACAAACAGTATTTAATTAGTTGGCAGAAATTTTGCTATTAGACATTTATGGCCACATTAATTTTTGTATATTAATCCACACTTTAAAAATCAAATTATATACATCTTTTAAGATGAATATGCAAGTTATAATAACTGACTAGCAGCATTTTTAATGTATTTACCATGTCAACAGAACAGGAAGGAGTGAGGTATGTAAAACAACAATTACGACTTTACTATTTTATCAGCATACTTGGAAAGGTCCATCAATATTTAAGTTTCGCTTATGTCAAACTGCTACTGAAACAGTATGGAAAGGCATGTCATCCTAGTTGCCCTCATTTTCCATTTCTTATTTCCTTTGAACAATACTTATAAGAGCCCTTAGCACTTACATCTGGAATAAAACCAATTTCATTAAGGTGGTTGCTCAGCTCTGGATCATGGAATGCAATCATCTGGGAAAACACTGTCAGATATTCTGAAATGACAAGAAAATTCAAGATCATCATCAAAAACACAGCCACCACATGCTGCTAGCTCACAATAGAGCTGTAGAAAAGGAAGAAAAGTATTTTTTAAAAGATTTTTTTAAACCTACAATAAAACAGCAGGTGAATACCACTACTGTCGTCCTTGTCACCACTGTATTCAACAGAGAGGAAGAAAGTTTTCATTTCTCTTCCTTAGTACTTCTCAATTTGGATTTTCAACAATGGTTTACTTGATTCATAATTAGATTGTGACGTATGTTCAACACATCAGTATGAGTATGAGCCACAAGATATTGATGGAAGAAAATGAGAACAAGACTGTTCCAAGGATTTTTAAGACCCAAACTGTTTCAGTGAAACACAAAGTTTATACTCTTTAAATTATATTCTGTGTGGTTTCTTTTCAACAAAGTCAAATTTTGTAATCCAGAAGTTGAGGTTTTAAGGCAATGGGACTTTAAGGTTACAATTTCCATGATCAGTAATATCTTAATTTGTATTTTTTGGAACAGGTAAGGAGAAATACTTATTGTAAAAGATAAAATTCATTATATCTATTGAAAACACACAAGTCTTCACAAAAATTTATCACTTAGGTCCAGCCAATTGCTGTTGGTTGGAATTTTATTATATGAATTTTTATTTTACATAATTGGGCATTCCACACCCAAACCCCTTTAGCTGCTCTTGCTTCCTATTTCCTGTAAGGCAATACACGTGATAAGCTTAGAAAAAACATGTGTCTTCATTGTATAGTACAGGCTCAGAAATGAGATATGTTGAACTTTGCAGTTTGAAAGATTCCTCCCATCCACCCCTACAAGGAAGATACAAAGAAGCTAGGAAGCTAAAATTGCACTAGGTAGTTAACACTTCCTGCCAACCCAATAAAGCAGGGAAATTACACAGAATTTTCTTCAAAACTGTATTTACACATTGCTGTTCGTCACATGACCCTAGAAAGGATTAAATCAGAATACTAAAATAATCCTAAAAGGTCCAGTCTTCCCAAGTCTTTGATGATGCCAGATGTTGCACAGGAACTCAGGAATG